TCAAAAAAGCGGCAGATACCCTCAGCCAACACCAGTTGAGTTGGTTGGATTCGCGATGGCGGCGGTATATTAATCAGTTATTGTTGCTGTTAGTTACTTCATTTGTTGTTGGCGTATGGGTATGGTATTGTTGTTGTTGTGTGCGTTTTCTCTGTCGTGTACTTTGCAATGCGCCAAGGCACAGGCCCCACAGCAGTAGTAGCAAGCAAACAGCTGTTATGGCAAGTGCTTGAAAAAATTGTCGCGGTCGCCTGTAATCGTTGTCGCCCGTGTTTTTTGTATTGTGTGAGAACGCGGTTTATCGGTCGCATGCTCGCATTAGTGGCTCCACAATAATCGATCAATTCGAAATGCATTAAAAACGTTAACCAAAAAAAAAATACGACAACAAAAAGCCAAAAAACGGGGTACAATAAAAATAAAAATAACAAAAGAAACCCCTCACACCCTCAAAAAAATGAAATAAATCAATAACCAAAAATAAAGTGCAAAAAAAAGAATAATGAAATAAATAATGTCACTAATAAAGCTATGAAATTAAATAATAGCCCCAAGGCAAATATTCAGAATAAAAAAATTAACAACATCATTATTTAGTGTGTTACGATTTTTTTGATCCCATTATGGCCTCTCATTCATCATCCATATCCAGTGATTCGTTACGATCTGCTGTATCATCAAAATTATCCACCAACACCTCATCATCATCGTCCGCATCGATGGCGACCACAAAACGCTGGTCCCAGCACATTGTGGCCTCCACATATGACGATGTGTGTGTTCTGCTGAAATACCAAAGAAGGCCCCACTCCCAGGAGAATCTGACACAAATCAATAACTGTGGTGTAAACAATAAATATCCGAACTCCTACGCCACATTACCCACACCACAACATCATCATCATCATCACCGGTCTCCACCCACTCCTTACAACAATAATATAAATAACAATAATACAACAATAAAATGTAATAATATTGGTGTGCTGGGCAATGGTGGTTGTTGTAATACCAAATCAATGACGTCGATGCTGACCGCTTCCGTTTTAACGCAAAACCCGGCGGTCGTATATCGCAATGGCAATTCGTCACAGCAGCAGCCGACGAGTCATTATCGTCGCGGTGAAATTCCTCGGAGGCGCCTTATACGGCCCGTATCGTGTTTTGAACCTGGTGATCATGTACGCTATTTATTTCTATTTTTGTTTATATTCGTTCTGCAATGTACTGGTATCTTATCTCCTTGTACGAATATTGCGAATGCCAATTACTCAGAGGAAACTCTACCCTATTCGTGGTATTTTATTTAAGTAATGTGGCAAAGTGGGTAATTGTTTATTTTTCTACGGATTGTGAAATGTGGGTCTAAAGGGAGTTTTAAAGGGAGGGCACTTAGTATACCTTTGGAAGGTATTCTTTAACGGGAATAACTGTAGAAATACATCCATCCATGGATGACCTATAGACGTTTGCTATCTGTAAATTAGCTATAGAATAGATTCTATAATAAGGCATACAGTAGCTATAGGGGAATAGAAGGTCTACTGGGTATATAAGACCTTGTTCCCATAGAAGACCTATATACGATGTTTGATTTACGAGCATCTATTAACGGTTGGTTATTTGTGAAAGACCTATAGACAAATTGTACCTATAGAACAACAGAAGAAGGTCTCGAATAGAAGACACGTAAAAGTTATTTTATCTAAAGAAGGTTTTCTATCTATTGAAGATCTGTGGAAGGTAATTAAGGAAGGTCTTTCAAACCGTTTTACCCTTTCCTTCATCAGAATTCAGAACAGCATAATGGAAGCCCTGCTGGGTTCATGTATTCGTTGAATTATAGAAGTCTCCAATTGAAGGCCTGCAGAAAGTATTCTACCTATAGAAGGGATATAGAAGGTTGTCTATCTATTGAAGTCCCGTGGAAGATGAATGTAGACCCAAGAATAATATCTATATATTCTTAGTGTATACTTAATTTTTCATTCCTTTAGCAACACCTTTAAAATTTCAGCAAAGACCCAGCTACAAAATCATGATAAAGAAGGGGTGGACATTTTTTATGAAGAAGATGACCCTTAAGTATATAGGCCTTGACTTTCTGTACTCAACACCTCATATAAAGGTCTTTATAGACCTGTTTCAGGCCTTGCAATTTTTCTTCAACAAATACACAATAATAAAATAATTCTTTAACAAAAAACCTACCCTCTTAAGCATTAAAAAAACCAAGCCTTATCTAGACATTGACAAATATTCTTTAAAACTTCCAAGCCTGTTCTAGAGCCTATGGGCCTAGAAAAAATATTCTTTAAAACTTCCAAGCCTGTTATAGAGCCTATGGGCCTAGAAAAAATATTCTTTAAAACTTCCAAGCCTGTTATAGAGCCTATGGGCCTAGAAAAAATATTCTTTAAAAAATCCACGCCTTATTGAGCCTATGGGTCTAGAAAAAATATTCTTTAAAAAATCCACGCCTTATTGAGCCTATGGGCCTAGAAAAAATATTCTTTAAAAAATCCAGGCCTTATTGAGCCTATGGGCCTAAAAAATATATTCTTTAAAAAAATCCACGACTTATTAAGCCTATGGGTCTAGAAAAAATATTCTTTAAAAAATCCAAGCCTTATTGAGCCTATGGGTCTAGAAAAAATATTCTTTAAAAAATCCACGCCTTATTGAGCGTATGGGCCTAGAAAAAATATTCTTTAAAAAATCCACGCCTTATTGAGCCTATGGGCCTAGAAAAAATATTCTTTAAATAATCCACGCCTTATTGAGCCTATGGGCCTAGAAAAAATATTCTTTAAAACTTCCAAGCCTGTTATAGAGCCTATGGGCCTAGAAAAAATATTCTTTAAATAATCCACGCCTTATTGAGCCTATGGGCCTAGAAAAAATATTCTTTAAAACTTCCAAGCCTGTTATAGAGCCTATGGGCCTAGAAAAAATATTCTTTAAAAAATCCACGCCTTATTGAGCCTATGGGCCTAGAAAAAATATTCTTTAAAAAATCCACGCCTTATTGAGCCTATGGGCCTAAAAAATATATTCTTTAAAAAAATCCACGACTTATTAAGCCTATGGTTCTAGAAAAAATATTCTTTAAAAAATCCACGCCTTATTGAGCCTATGGGTCTAGAAAAAATATTCTTTAAAAAATCCACGCCTTATTGAGCGTATGGGCCTAGAAAAAATATTCTTTAAAACTTCCAAGCCTGTTCTAGAGCCTATGGGGCTAGAAAAAATATTCTTTGAAACTTCCAAGCCTGTTCTAGAGCCTGAGGGCCTAGAAAAAATATTCTTTAAAAAATCCACGCCTTATTGAGCCTATGGGTCTAGAAAAAATATTCTTTAAAAAATCCACGCCTTATTGAGCGTATGGGCCTAGAAAAAATATTCTTTAAAACTTCCAAGCCTGTTCAAGAGCCTGAGGGCCTAGAAAAAATATTCTTTAAAAAATCCACGCCTTATTGAGCCTTAGGGCCTAGAAAAAATATTCTTAAAAAAAATAAAGTATGGGCCTAGAAAAAATATTCTTTAAAAAATCCACTCCTTATTGGGCCTAGAAAAAATATTCGTTAAAAGATCCACGCCTTCTATGGGCCTTGAAAAAGTAATCTTTATAAAATCCTCGCCTTTTACGGGCCTTGAACAAAATTCTTTAAAAAATCCACGCCTTCTATGGGCCTTGAAAAAGTAATCTTTATAAAATTCTCGCCTTTTACAGGCCTTGAACAATATTCTTTAAAAAATCCACGCCTTTGAAATTTTTTTCTTTAAAAAATCCGCGTCTTTCATAAGCTTTGAAAAAATGTTTTATAGACTTATATTCTTTAAAAACAAAAATCACACTTGCATAGTCCTGGAAATCTATATTCCCAAAAACCCTTCTTACTTACGGCTTATTAAAGAGATCTATTAAAATCGAGATTCTTATGGTGTTCCAAGCTTATGGATCTAATAGTCTTCCTATAAAAATCCATGATTTCCCTTAATAAAATCTATAACACATTCAGGTTTAAGCTCCTCCGAAAAATCTGTTAAAATCAGAGTGTTCCCATGACGTTCTCCAAAAAAAAAGTAAATCCAAGCTTATGATTCAAATAGTCTTTCTTCAAACATCCACGCCTCTTGCTCTGAATGTTCCTCCAAAAAAAAATCCACTAATGTGGCCCAAAAAGTCCTCAAAAGCCGACGCATAATGATCTGCCATTCACCCTGCAATTCTCTATTAAACACTTTTCCACCAAATTCCAAAAAAAAACACAAATAAATAAAATTTCTTTGGAAGTGAATTTCCCCATTGACTTCATACTTCAGGCATTTAATCCACTTCGTTGCCATGGAATGACACTGCCACACATTCCCAAAAAAAAAAAAAACGTTCTGTGTGCGAACTTCCACTTCATAATAACCAATTACGTATTTAATAATATTTTGAGTAAATAGCAACGAACGAATGAACGATTGATTGTTTAAATATTTGCATTCATGATTTTAATACTTTATTGCTTTAATGCTAGCTTTTTCAACTGATTCTCTTTATATAAATAAAATACAAATTAAATAATATTTTGTATTTATTATTTGTTTGTTAGATTTAATTTTTATTCATGGGACTCTCACTACAACTTGTTTACTTCATCGTTATATTGACAGATAACAACAACAACAATAGCAACAACAATAGCACCCAAGGAAGTGGGTGAAGACTTGGCAAAAATGTTTCTATTTTTTTCATTATTTCCCCTCTTTCAATATTAATTAATATTGTTGTTATTGTTTTTATAATTATCCAACAAATGGTGGTTGTTGTCGTTTTTGTTGTTGTTACTAATAATAGATCCATTGGGGTCTATTAATGAAATGTTAACCCTTTTTTTGAAATCATATAATATTTTTTTTCAATTAATGATTTTGTTGCTGTTGTTATTCACATAGCTAATAATCGTTTACGTCTTCTCTGTTTCTTCTCTTTTTTTTTTTTTTTGTAGAAAAACAAGGAATTGATGAATGATATTATCACCAGTTGTAAATTTAAAAATGGTAAGTGGTACCTAATAAAGTATCTCATATACGAGTACCTCATATATGTATAGTTATGTAGTCGTTATGTTTGTTTGTGTTTTTATGTCTAAATATTTATGGAAAAATAAAAAACGCAGAATTAATAATTGCTATACGGACACTTGTCTGCCATTCAGCATATGGCACTGATCGGTTCGTGAAATAAGAAACACCAACAACAACAACAAATAAAAACAATACGAATAACATAAATTAACAATTGAACTGCCGCCATCGTCGTTGTTAGCCGGTACTATCGCCAAAGCAATATGATCTTGCTAATAAGCTATGTTTGCCACAGCACAATGGGGTGTTTTAAATTTTGAAACAAAAAATATTCTTTCAAAATCCACGCCCCTTCTAAAGCTTGAAAAAATATTTTTTAGAAATAAAATCATCTTCTATGGCTTGAAAAATATTTCAAGGCTTAAAAAAATTTCAAAAAAAATCAACTTTTATTTTGGGGCTTGAAAATTTTTCTACAAAAATCCACGCCTAATTTTGAGCCTTGAAAAAATATTTAAAAAACCAGTGAGCGGAGCAGTACAGTCGGACGGCGCCGACCATATGATACCCTACACAACATCCACGAAAATATAACTTTCTTTCTATATTCTGAGTTTGGGCAATATTTTACGATATTTGCGCCCTCTTAAACGTCTAGAGGTGAACAAATATTACTCATATTCAGTACAGCCCTTCTAATTACTTGTCCAGATTCCCTTCATGGTGGGTTGTGTTGTGATCGACTCCAAAAAAAAATATTAAGTTTTCGGTCTACTTCATCCCAATATTATATTCACCCGCTATATTTTCACCCTCTACGTAAGCACCTGTGAATTTTTAAGTGTAACTCCCATATCCGAATACATACGACAATATAATTGGTATCAATTTAAAGGTCAACCACTCCTCTTGGATATTCTATCAACTTCTCAAGTCTATGTCCTCCAGGCGTTAATCTATACGCTTTAGAATACAAATTTTATCATTTTTCACACAAAAGTCGGGGTCCATTTTACCCGCTAAATATAGACCGCGGCCCTGGAGCAACTAGAAAATCAAAAAAAAAAAAAATAATAATAAAGTATTTGGTCCATTTCCTAAATACTAACCGATCTTTACTAAAAAGAATAGGGGTCTTCATTGGCCAGAACCCATCCTACATGCAAAATTTCGTGAAGATTGATCCATAAAAGTAGCCTGTATCGTATTTACAAATTATAATGAACAGACGGACGTACACACATGTCTAGATCGACTCAGCTAGTAGAGATATGACGATCGGTATACTTAAAGGTGGGTCTAGGACCAATATTTCGCGGCGTTACAAACTCTTGGGGCTGCACAAAGCTATAAATCCACGCCTCTTGGAGGTCTAGAGAAAATATTTTTTAATAAATCCACGCCTCTTGGAGGTCTCCAGAAAATATTCTTTAATAAATCCACGCCTCTTGGAGGTCTCCAGAAAATATTCTTTAAAAAAATCCACGCCTCTTGGAGGTCTCCAGAAAATATTCTTTAATAAATCCACGCCTCTTGGAGGTCTCCAGAAAATATTCTTTAATAAATCCACGCCTCTTGGAGGTCTCCAGAAAATATTCTTTAATAAATCCACGCCTCCTGTAGATCCCAAAAAATATTTTTTATTAATCCACGCCTCTTGGAGGTCTCTGAAAAATATTCTTTAATAAATCCACGCCTCAGTTGGCCCTTGAAAAATATTCTTTAATAAATCCACGCCTCAGTTGGCCCTTGAAAAATATGCTTTAATAAATCCACGCCTCAGTTGGCCCTTGAAAAATATTCTTTAATAAATCCACGCCTCAGTTGGCCCTTGAAAAATATTCTTTAATAAATACACGCCTCAGTTGGCCCTTGAAAAATATTCTTTAATAAATCCACGCCTCAGTTGGCCCTTGAAAAATATTCTTTAATAAATCCAAGCCTCAGTTGGCCCTTGAAAAATATTCTTTAATAAATCCACGCCTCAGTTGGTCCTTGAAAAATATTCGTTAATAAATCCAAACTTCTTAGAGAACTCTAAAAAAATAATTTTTAATAAATACACGCCACTAAGAGGTCTTGAAAAATAACCATAACTCTTAAAAATCTATAGGAGAAATTTCTTATTAAGTCTCTCCCCATTGTGCAGCTGTGGGTGACGGTATGCTGTAGCAACGACCTTGGTAATTAATTCCATCAAACAGTTTTTCACGAAGTTGTCTATTTAAAAAAAACCGGATCTTGAAAAAATATATATCTGTAATGTGTGTTCGCATATTAAATACACTTTTTATTATGCGGCTTAGTGACAATTGTTCAAAGATGGAAAATATGTATACATTTATGTATATGATTTGGGTCCATATAGATCTAGCCCTGTTCAACCATGGGAACTGGTGCCCTTGTTTACATGTATTAAAAATTCGTTATCTGCGTTCTCTTTTAGTAAGTCATTTCATATGGCGGTTTCTCATTTGTTCTCTGAGAATTTTTTCGTTGCACACCTCTAATCTACTCTATATGTGAGAACAGAAGAGAGTTTAAAATTTGTTTTCAAGACCCAATAAGCCGAGGATTTATTAAAAATATTTTTCAAGGCCTAGAACAGGTGTGGATTTTCAAAACCATATTTTTGCAAAGCTCCGATCAGGAATGGATTTATTAAAGAATATTTTTTCAAAGCTCATAGGAGTCTTGAATATGTAAATCAATATTTTTTCAAGGCCTCCTGGAGGCTAGAATTTTCCAATGAATATTTTTCAAGGCCTCTTTGAGGCTTGAATATTTACATTTAAGATAAATCAAATATTTCCATTTGACCTTGTCACACATTTATCTCAATGAACTTAAAAATTCCAAATAAAATATTCCGCTGCGATAAATGTCTCTATGAAGTCTAACTATTTTGAATTTCTTATCAATTCTGCTAAGCTGAAAACAAAATTTACATATTTACACCCCCATTACACTCACACACACACTGGCACAAAATATTTTTCTGCGGCCTATTTTCCGCAACAACAATTTAAAAATATAATTTTATCTTTCAAAATAGACACGGCGAGAGACTGTCAGACAACCCGACTATCAGTGAAACCCCCAAACAAATGCAAATAAAAGTCTGATAAGGTTTTTTGTATTCAAATAGTAAATAATCTCGACGAACTTGACCTTGAAAGTCAATATACAAGGAAAAGCAATTAATGCGGAATTCAAGTGTATTCAAGTGAAATGACTTATGTAGTGGCAGTAGAAGTGAACTATATTTAAATTTCATAATTTAAATCCCCACTCCCGCCCGGCAAAGGCCACAAGTGGTGGCGGCATTTCGAACTGTCATGTGTGATCTTGTCACACACAAAAAAAAATAATCCTTTAATTAAAATTTGAATTTCATTGAGAAATGCTGCGAATAATCCAATGTCCGTAATTAAATAACACAGAGCCGCATGACTAGCTGAAAAAACGCAAACACACACACACACACATTCACATGTACAAATGTCCTTGTTGGAGAGAATTTTTTCATGTTCATAATCCCAATGATAAATAATAAATGTGAAATGCGTATGAAGCATGAAGAAGTATAAGCCAGGAGTTGTGTGTTCATAATAACGGTATTAACATGGCAAGGACGCCATTACAAATACATAGGTATTTAGGTGCCTTCTGCGGAATTTTTATGCAAATGTAATGGAATATTGTTTTTTTGTCAGCATAGATAAAAAGAATATGATAATGGAACAAAACATCAATTAACATGATGGATTCCAACACAAACAGAAGGATATATTCATATTCAGCTACGCTAAATTGCAGAATTCCTATAGGAATACAAATGCAGCCATGCTAAGTTGAGAATTCCCTATGGGAATGTAGGAAATCTTCAATTCAGCCTGGCTGAATTATGATTTCTATAGGAAATCTTCAATTCAGCCTGGCTGAATTAGGATTTCTTAGGAAATCTTCAATTCACCCTGGCTGAATTAGGATTTCTATAGGAAATCTTCAATTCAGGCTGGCTGAAATATGATTTCTATAGGAAATCTTCAATTTAGGCTGGCTCAATTATGATTTCTATAGGAAATCTTCAATTCAGCCTGGCTGAATTAGGATTTCTGTAAGAAATCTTCAATTCAGCCTGGCTGAATTAGGATTTCTATAGGAAATCTTCAATTCAGCCTGGCTGAATTAGGATTTCTATAGGAAATCTTCAATTCAGCCTGGCTGAATTAGGATTTCTATAGGAAATCTTCAATTCAGCCTGGCTGAATTAGGATTTCTATAGGAAATCTTCAATTCAGCCTGGCTGAATTAGGATTTCTATACGAAATCTTCAATTCAGCCTGGCTGAATTAGGATTTCTATACGAAATCTTCAATTCAGCCTGGCTGAATTAGGATTTCTATACGAAATCTTCAATTCAGCCTGGCTGAATTAGGATTTCTATAGGAAATCTTCAATTCAGCCTGGCTGAACTAGGATTTCTATAGGAAATCTTCAATTCAGCCTGGCTGAATTAGGATTTCTATAGGAAATCTTCAATTCAGCCTGGCTGAATTAGGATTTCTATAGGAAATCTTCAATTCAGCCTGGCTGAATTAGGATTTCTATAGGAAATCTTTAATTCAGCCTGGCTGAATTAGGATTTCTATAGGAAATCTTTAATTCAGCCTGGCTGAATTAGGATTTCTATAGGAAATCTTTAATTCAGCCTGGCTGAATTAGGATTTCTATAGGAAATCTTCAATTCAGCCTGGCTGAATTAGGATTTCTATAGGAAATCTTCAATTCAGCCTGGCTGAATTAGGATTTCTATAGGAAATCTTCAATTCAGCCTGGCTGAATTAGGATTTCTATAGGAAATCTTCAATTCAGCCTGGCTGAATTAGGATTTCTATAGGAAATCTTCAATTCAGCCTGGCTGAATTAGGATTTCTATAGGAAATCTTCAATTCAGCCTGGCTGAATTAGGATTTCTATAGGAAATCTTCAATTCAGCCTGGCTGAATTAGGATTTCTATAGGAAATCTTCAATTCAGCCTGGCTGAATTAGGATTTCTATAGGAAATCTTCAATTCAGCCTGGCTGAATTAGGATTTCTATAGGAAATCTTCAATTCAGCCTGGCTGAATTAGGATTTCTATAGGAAATCTTCAATTCAGCCTGGCTGAATTAGGATTTCTATAGGAAATCTTCAATTCAGCCTGGCTGAATTAGGATTTCTATAGGAAATCTTCAATTCAGCCTGGCTGAATTAGGATTTCTATAGGAAATCTTCAATTCAGCCTGGCTGAATTAGGATTTCTATAGGAAATCTTCAATTTAGCCTGGCTGAATTAGGATTTCTATAGGAAATCTTCAATTCAGCCTGGCTGAATTAGGATTTCTATAGGAAATCTTCAATTCAGCCTGGCTGAATTAGGATTTCTATAGGAAATCTTCAATTCAGCCTGGCGGAATTAGGATTTCTATAGGAAATCTTCAATTCAGCCTGGCTGAATTAGGATTTCTATAGGAAATCTTCAATTCAGCCTGGCTGAATGGGGATTTCTTTAGGAAATCTTCAATTCAGCCTGGTTTAATTGGGATTTGATTGGAAATCTCCAATGCAAACTGGCTGAATTAAACTGTTGATCGGAAATCTTTGGGTTTAAATAGGAAATCTTCAATCTAGTTATTATAAAATGCTATTTATTGAGCTCCAACCTAATATATTTTTTAAATGAATTTATATCAATTTATTAAGCAATCTCCTGTTTTTTTTTTTAATTTGTTGTACTTACAGGTTTTGGTCCCAACACACAACAACAGCAGCAACAACAACAGAGCAATTCATCACCCACTAAGCGGCCACTAAGTCCAGATCATCCCAATCCGGCATTACCAATAACAGAGGTAAGTGGCAAAGCATCAGCATTTGTGTTTCTGTGGTCAGTGGCATTAAAGGCAAATCCCGTCAACAACAAAAACAACATGTTGTTGTTGTTTTTTCTTCAATTATTTATGTTTAAATGTTATGAATGTTGTATTCAAACATTCTGTTGTTTTGTCTGGCAAAAGTTTTTTTGGTTTTTCTTCGGTTAGGGTGCTGTGTCAGAGTTTGGTTTTTCATATCTGGGGTTTTCATGTGAAGGAGGGAGGAAGGGACTTCTTCATCAGGAAAAAGAGCACAGCAGAGCAACAGGGTGTTGTCTGTTGCGACAAAAACACATGTCACTCTGTTTGTTTGCGGTTTTGGTTTAGTCTGGTCTGGTATTTTCAGTTCTGTTTGAAACAACATTTATGGTTTCCATTTTTTCCTACTCCTGGGCCTCTCATTTCTTTCTGGTTGGGCTTTAAATCTTTTTTCAGCAAAAAATAATCTTTATCCCCAAATGGCGTGTGGCATATTTGAAACAAATCTCAAAATTATACCATTTTCGGGGATTTTGTTGTAGTTGTTCTTTTTTCTTCGTTTTGTTTCAAGGTCATGGTTATGATATAAACTGAAATGGATATTAAGTTTCGCTTAGACGAATACAATTACAATAATCTTTGGAATATTCTTCTTAGTTTCCTTTTTGTTGTTGTTGTCATATTTTATGATGTATTTTAAACAAAAAAATAAGAAAATAACTTCAAATTCTTATGAATATTAAGTGTGAACACATAAAATGGCATGAACGATGTTGATCTTTTTTATTTCTTTGTTGTCGCGCTAAAGTGTCTCCAAAGTTTTGCGTTTTTATTATTTGAATTTCATTTGGAAATTTATTTATTATGACAAATATACATTTCAATAATATTGGGAGAGTCGGAGAAGACATGAATGAGAGAAGTCTTGTGAAACATCCACGCCTGTTCTAGGCCTTGAAAAAATATTCTTTAAAAAATCCACGCCTGTTCTAGGCCTTGAAAAAATATTCTTTAAAAAATCCACGCCTGTTCTAGGCCTTGAAAAAATATTCTTTAAAAAATCCACGCCTGTTCTAGGCCTTGAAAAAATATTCTTTAAAAAATCCGCGCCTGTTCTAGGCCTTGAAAAAATATTCTTTAAAAAATCCACGCCTGTTCTAGGCCTTGAAAAAATATTCTTTAAAAAATCCGCGCCTGTTCTAGGCCTTGAAAAAATATTCTTTAAAAAATCCACGCCTGTTCTAGGCCTTGAAAAAATATTCTTTAAAAAATCCGCGCCTGTTCTAGGCCTTGAAAAAATATTCTTTAAAAAATCCACGCCTGTTCTAGGCCTTGAAAAAATATTCTTTAAAAAATCCGCGCCTGTTCTAGGCCTTGAAAAAATATTCTTTAAAAAATCCACGCCTGTTCTAGGACTTGAACAAATATTTTTTAAGAAATCCACGCCTGTTCTAGGCCTTGAAAAAATATTCTTTAAAAAATCCACGCCTGTTCTAGGCCTTGAAAAAATATTCTTTAAGAAATCCACGCCTGTTATAGGCCTTGAAAAATATTCTTTAAGAAATCCACGCCTGTTATAGGCCTTGAAAAATATTCTTTAAGAAATCCACGCCTTAGACTTTGAAAAATCCACGCCTTACTTAGCTAGCTTGTTACAGAACGGTTGTTCCATAAGCCGAGCTTAAAAAAGATTTCCAAGCGCGTCGGTCTTGAGCGCAAATCCAACAATTTGGATGACCACGTTCCAAGGTGTAGTTTTCTACTTGATCTTTCCATCTAATTCGTGGCCTTCCCCTTCTACGGGAACCATCAGTAGGCTCGCTTGTATATGCCTTTTGAGCTGGGGAATTCTCATTCATTCGCACAACATGACCTAGCCACCGTATTCACTGCAGCTCAATACGACTGACTATGTCGATGTCCGCGTATAAATTGTAATGCTCGTGGTTCATTCGACGCCGATATTCACCGTCGACGCAGATCGGCCCGTAGATCTTTCGGAGAATTTTTCTTTCAAACAACCCAAGAGCTGCCTCATCTGCTTGCGCAATGAGCACGGGTAGTATCAGCGTCTTATAAAGTGTGAGTTTGGTCTGGCCGGAGGTGGCCTTGTTTTTAAACTGCTTACTTAGACCATAGTAGCATCTGTTGGCCATCACAATCCTTCTCCGAATTTCAAAACTGATTTCATTCATTTTATTTATGGCGGTACCAAGGTATATAAAATCTTTAACTACCTCGAAGCTGTAGTTCTCATGTTCCACAGTTGGTCCGAGTCTACCGGATGTCTTGTGCGTTGATACCATCAGCTTGGTCTTCTCGTCGTTTACTGCCAGACCAAATACTGCCAAATAGGTATTATGTGTGGATGTGTTTTTCGTGGGTCTTTTCCAGGATTTGGCGCAGAGTGAAAATCTGGTCAATGGTGGATTTGCGATGGGGAGGAGACTTGTTCCTCTATAGTTGGCACATATCGTCTTGTCTCCTTTTTTGTACACGGGACACAGGATGCTGAGGTTCCAATCGTTGGGCATGCTTTCCTCTAGCCAAATTGTACTAATCACCTGGTGCATGCTCCTGACCAGCATCTGGCCACCAGTCTTGAATAGTTCGGCTTGTAACCCATCAGCACATCCTTCTTCATCTCTACAGGTGGATGTGCCTGCACCAAAGCCTTCGGTTTGTTGTTTTACCCGTTGGTAGAATTTCCGGACTTCATTCTGACTCCTGTATATCTCGATTTGCACACACTCACGTTTTTCTTGTTCTTTCTTCTTTTTTCTGACAACACGTTTCTCCTCTCTCCTTTTCTCCCGATAATTCTCCATCACGTTACGTGCTGCTACTGACTGCAGGGTTGCCCGTTTTTCACATCAGTAGCATTACGACACTCCTGATCGTACCATGGGTTTCTTGGTGGTGGTTTTTGGTACCCAAGTGTTGCTTTTGCTGCAGTTTGTAGGGAATAAGCAATTCTTTGCCATTGTGCTTCTTTACTATTATCGGGACAAGAAGTGCTTTCTTCAAGCAGGTGGGTAAGTTGAGCGGAGTTGGCCTCGAGTTTCCGTGTTGTGTTAGATCGCACCATTGCTGCTACATTAAAACGGATGCGCACCTTGGCTGCCACAAAGTAATTGTCCAAATCGATATTTGCTTCACGGATCGATCGGACGTCTAAAACACTGGATGAATGCCTTCCGTCTATCACAATATGATCGATTTGATTTCTCGTTGTTCGATCGGGAGAAATAAAAGTGGCCTTGTGTATGTCGAGATGCTTGAGTCTGCTGCTACTAACTACCATGTTATTTGCTGTCATGCCCAAGGTAACGGTCATATGCGGCTTCTAGGCGTTCGTAAACTATCGGTTAGAGCATGGCCGCAAATGAGACTGATGTAGAAGAACTTCGTTTTTATACGGATTATTGCAATTCGCTCATCTACTGGATTGAATCTGGAGACGAGGTCTTTTATTCTCCTGTTAACCATAAATCCGCAGCCAAATTCTTGTCTCGTTTCATGGCAGCTATATAACTTACTCCAGTCCCTTTCCATCGCATTTCCTGTAAAGTAATAATACCGGCTTTGTACTTCTTGAGTACATCCGCCAAAGCGAACACTGCGCCTGTTCTGTACAACGTGCCCACATTCCAAGTGCAGATTCGCAGATCGTGGTCCTTTATACGTTTGCGGGGGGGGTCGTCAACATTAGGGGGGTTTGGTTTTCTTTTTCTTTGCCTTGAAAAACTATTCTGTAGAAAATCACGCCTTTGGTGGGCCTTGAAAATATCCTTTGAAAATCCACGCCTGTTCTGAGCTTTAAAAAATTCCACGCCTGTTCTAGGCCTTGAAAACATCCTTTGAAAATCCACGCCTGTCCTGAGCCTTAAAAAAGACGCGCCTCATATAGGCCCTGAAAAAAAATTCTTTAAAAATCTACGCCTCATATAGGCTTTGGAAAAATATTCTATAAAAATCCACGCCATTCCACGTCTGTTTAAATCTTAGAATTATTTCCCATTTATTTATACCCAATTTTATCCATCAGATAGTTAGCACTAATCGTTTCACCAAATACTTTACTATAATTGATTCTCATCTCATTAGTCAAAAATAAAACCGTTTTACATCCATCCTTACATAACTACCAACTCATTATCCTCTTTTTGCCATTACAGTCTCCTAGTCCTGCTATGAATCGTATGGGATGGGCATTGCGAACACTATTGGTTGCTGATAATTCAAGCTGTTTAAAGGATAGAAAAGTAAGTAGCAAAAACACTTCCTGAGCGCCAACACTAATGCATCCCCACACACACACACACTCACACTACCCTAAGCCACAACAACCAATGCTAGACCATTACGAATAAACCCGTCTACATTTCCGGTATTGGCTGACCAACAGAGTATTTCCGATGGTGTTGAGAAAGAAACAGACAAAACCAAAAAAAAACCATTAGCCAGTATTATGTAAAGTGGGTGTGTGTGTGTGTATGATGAGTACGCTAAGTACAGTGAATATTTGTTTAATTTGCTTGTTCTTTTAAGTACGATGATAAATATCCTTCCGGAATTACCGCCACAATTACTTGGCAACAAAATGGGAGTTTAAAAAAAATATTCATGGGAAGGAATTATAATTGATATTATTTAGATTCGGGATGAAAGGTGTAGCTGTTGTGAACATAAATAAAAAGAGCAATACACAATACCAGAAATGACATTTTAATTAGCACACATACAAAATATATCCTGCAGGAAGAAGTGAAGCAAATAAATTCTCTGCTTATTCATCACTTCGTGTACTCTTCGCTGACTCAACCCAAAACGCCCATATTTCAATTTAAATACTTTTTACAACAAAATGATTTACCCTTGCGTGTTCCCACTCTCTTTTATTCCCCTGTTCTATACTTTTCGTTACAGGTTTCCGGCAAACTTATACGCAAATGTGCCCCGGGTACTGAATTCGTTGATTGGTTGGTGAATTTATCGTCCATTGTTCATACCAGAGCCCAAGCGGCTGGTATGTGGCAGGCATTGTTGGAGGAAGGTGTTTTATCGCATGGTGAGTAGATTTATTTACCTTCATGATGCAGGACAATATTCCTTGAGAAAATTCACGCCTTCTGAAGGCCTTGAAAAAATATTCTTTAAAAAATCCACGCCTTGTGGAGCCCTTGAAAAATATTCTTTAAAAAATCCACGCCTTGTGGAGCCCTTGAAAAAATATTCTTTAAAAAATCCACGCCTTGTGGAGCCCTTGAAAAAATATTCTTTAAAAAATCCACGCCTTGTGGAGCCCTTGAAAAAATATTCTTTAAAAAATCCACGCCTTGTGGAGCCCTTGAAAAAATATTCTTTAAAAAATCCACGCCTTATGGAGCCCTTGAAAAAATATTCTTTAAAAAATCCACGCCTTGTGGAGCCCTTGAAAAAATATTCTTTAAAAAATCCACGCCTTGTGGAGCCCTTGAAAAAATATTCTTTAAAAAATCCACGCCTTGTGGAGCCCTTGAAAAAATATTCTTTAAAAAATCCACGCCTTGTGGAGCCCTTGAAAAAATATTCTTTAAAAAATCCACGCCTTGTGGAGCCCTTGAAAAAATATTCTTTAAAAAATCCACGCCTTGTGGAGCCCTTGAAAAAATATTCTTTAAAAAATCCACGCCTTGTGGAGCCCTTGAAAAAATATTCTTTAAAAAATCCACGCCTAGTGGAGCCCTTGAAAAAATATTCTTTAAAAAATCCACGCCTTGTGGAGCCCTTGAAAAAATATTCTTTAAAAAATCCACGCCTTGTGGAGCCCTTGAAAAAATATTCTTTAAAAAATCCACGCCTTGTGGAGCCCTTGAAAAAATATTCTTTAAAAAATCCACGCCTTGCGGAGCCCTTGAAAAAATATTCTTTAAAAAATCCACGCCTTGTGGAGCCCTTGAAAAAATATTCTTTAAAAAATCCACGCCTTGTGGAGCCCTTGAATAAATATTCTTTAAAAAATCCACGCCTTGTGGAGCCCTTGAAAAAATATTCTTTAAAAAATCCACGCCTTGTGGAGCCCTTGAAAAAATATTCTTTAAAAAATCCACGCCTTGTGGAGCCCTTGAAAAAATATTCTTTAAAAAATCCACGCCTTGTGGAGCCCTTGAAAAAATATTCTTTAAAAAATCCACGCCTTGTGGAGCCCTTGAAAAAATATTCTTTAAAAAATCCACGCCTTGTGGAGCCCTTGAAAAAATATTCTTTAAAAAATCCACGCCTTGTGGAGCCCTTGAAAAAATATTCTTTAAAAAATCCACGCCTTGTGGAGCCCTTGAAAAAATATTCTTTAAAAAATCCACGCCTTGTGGAGCCCTTGAAAAAATATTCTTTAAAAAATCCACGCCTTGTGGAGCCCTTGAAAAAATATTCTTTAAAAAATCCACGCCTTGTGGAGCCCTTAAAAAAATATTCTTTAAAAAATCCACGCCTTGTGGAGCCCTTGAAAAAATATTCTTTAAAAAATCCACGCCTTGTGGAGCCCTTGAAAAAATATTCTTTAAAAAATCCACGCCTTGTGGAGCCCTTGAAAAAATATTCTTTAAAAAATCCACGCCTTGTGGAGCCCTTGAAAAAATATTCTTTAAAAAATCCACGCCTTGTGGAGCCCTTGAAAAAATATTCTTTAAAAAATCCACGCCTTGTGGAGCCCTTGAAAAAATATTCTTTAAAAAATCCACGCCTTGTGGAGCCCTTGAAAAAATATTCTTTAAAAAATCCACGCCTTGTGGAGCCCTTGAAAAAATATTCTTTAAAAAATCCACGCCTTGTGGAGCCCTTGAAAAAATATTCTTTAAAAAATCCACGCCTTGTGGAGCCCTTGAAAAAATATTCTTTAAAAAATCCACGCCTTGTGGAGCCCTTGAAAAAATATTCTTTAAAAAATCCACGCCTTGTGGAGCCCTTGAAAAAATATTCTTTAAAAAATCCACGCCTTGTGGAGCCCTTGAAAAAATATTCTTTAAAAAATCCACGCCTTGTGGAGCCCTTGAAAAAATATTCTTTAAAAAATCCACGCCTTGTGGAGCCCTTGAAAAAATATTCTTTAAAAAATCCACGCCTTGTGGAGCCCTTGAAAAAATATTCTTTAAAAAATCCACGCCTTGTGGAGCCCTTGAAAAAATATTCTTTAAAAAATCCACGCCTTGTGGAGCCCTTGAAAAAATATTCTTTAAAAAATCCACGCCTTGTGGAGCCCTTGAAAAAATATTCTTTAAAAAATCCACGCCTTGTGGAGCCCTTGAAAAAATATTCTTTAAAAAATCCACGCCTTGTGGAGCCCTTGAAAAAATATTCTTTAAAAAAAAATATTCTTTAAAAAATCCACGCCTTGTGGAGCCCTTGAAAAAATATTCTTTAAAAAATCCACGCCTTGTGGAGCCCTTGAAAAAATATTCTTTAAAAAATCCACGCCTTGTGGAGCCCTTGAAAAAATATTCTTTAAAAAATCCACGCCTCCTTAAATAAATCCACGCCTCAGTTGGCCCTTGAAAAATATTCTTTAATAAATCCACGCCTCAGTTGGCCCTTGAAAAATATTCTTTAATAAATCCACGCCTCAGTTGGCCCTTGAAAAATATTCTTTAATAAATCCACGCCTCAGTTGGCCCTTGAAAAATATTCTTTAATAAATCCACGCCTCAGTTGGCCCTTCTTTAAAAAATATTCTTTAATAAATCCACGCCTCAGTTGGCCCTTGAAAAATATTCTTTAATAAATCCACGCCTCAGTTGGCCCTTGAAAAATATTCTTTAATAAATCCACGCCTCAGTTGGCCCTTGAAAAATATTCTTTAATAAATCCACGCCTCAGTTGGCCCTTGAAAAATATTCTTTAATAAATCCACGCCTCAGTTGGCCCTTGAAAAATATTCTTTAATAAATCCACGCCTCAGTTGGCCCTTGAAAAATATTCTTTAATAAATCCACGCCTCAGTTGGCCCTTGAAAAATATTCTTTAATAAATCCACGCCTCAGTTGGCCCTTGAAAAATATTCTTTAATAAATCCACGCCTCAGTTGGCCCTTGAAAAATATTCTTTAATAAATCCACGCCTCAGTTGGCCCTTGAAAAATATTCTTTAATAAATCCACGCCTCAGTTGGCCCTTGAAAAATATTCTTTAATAAATCCACGCCTCAGTTGGCCCTTGAAAAATATTCTTTAATAAATCCACGCCTCAGTTGGCCCTTGAAAAATATTCTTTAATAAATCCACGCCTCAGTTGGCCCTTGAAAAATATTCTTTAATAAATCCACGCCTCAGTTGGCCCTTGAAAAATATTCTTTAATAAATCCACGCCTCAGTTGGCCCTTGAAAAATATTCTTTAATAAATCCACGCCTCAGTTGGCCCTTGAAAAATATTCTTTAATAAATCCACGCCTCAGTTGGCCCTTGAAAAATATTCTTTAATAAATCCACGCCTCAGTTGGCCCTTGAAAAATATTCTTTAATAAATCCACGCCTCAGTTGGCCCTTGAAAAATATTCTTTAATAAATCCACGCCTCAGTTGGCCCTTGAAAAATATTCTTTAATAAATCCACGCCTCAGTTGGCCCTTGAAAAATATTCTTTAATAAATCCACGCCTCAGTTGGCCCTTGAAAAATATTCTTTAATAAATCCACGCCTCAGTTGGCCCTTGAAAAATATTCTTTAATAAATCCACGCCTCAGTTGGCCCTTGAAAAATATTCTTTAATAAATCCACGCCTCAGTTGGCCCTTGAAAAATATTCTTTAATAAATCCACGCCTCAGTTGGCCCTTGAAAAATATTCTTTAATAAATCCACGCCTCAGTTGGCCCTTGAAAAATATTCTTTAATAAATCCACGCCTCAGTTGGCCCTTGAAAAATATTCTTTAATAAATCCACGCCTCAGTTGGCCCTTGAAAAATATTCTTTAATAAATCCACGCCTCAGTTGGCCCTTGAAAAATATTCTTTAATAAATCCACGCCTCAGTTGGCCCTTGAAAAATATTCTTTAATAAATCCACGCCTCAGTTGGCCCTTGAAAAATATTCTTTAATAAATCCACGCCTCAGTTGGCCCTTGAAAAATATTCTTTAATAAATCCACGCCTCAGTTGGCCCTTGAAAAATATTCTTTAATAAATCCACGCCTCAGTTGGCCCTTGAAAAATATTCTTTATTCTTTAATAAATCCACGCCTCAGTTGGCCCTTGAAAAATATTCTTTAATAAATCCACGCCTCAGTTGGCCCTTGAAAAATATTCTTTAATAAATCCACGCCTCAGTTGGCCCTTGAAAAATATTCTTTAATAAATCCACGCCTCAGTTGGCCCTTGAAAAATATTCTTTAATAAATCCACGCCTCAGTTGGCCCTTGAAAAATATTCTTTAATAAATCCACGCCTCAGTTGGCCCTTGAAAAATATTCTTTAATAAATCCACGCCTCAGTTGGCCCTTGAAAAATATTCTTTAATAAATCCACGCCTCAGTTGGCCCTTGAAAAATATTCTTTAATAAATCCACGCCTCAGTTGGCCCTTGAAAAATATTCTTTAATAAATCCACGCCTCAGTTGGCCCTTGAAAAATATTCTTTAATAAATCCACGCCTCAGTTGGCCCTTGAAAAATATTCTTTAATAAATCCACGCCTCAGTTGGCCCTTGAAAAATATTCTTTAATAAATCCACGCCTCAGTTGGCCCTTGAAAAATATTCTTTAATAAATCCACGCCTCAGTTGGCCCTTGAAAAATATTCTTTAATAAATCCACGCCTCAGTTGGCCCTTGAAAAATATTCTTTAATAAATCCACGCCTCAGTTGGCCCTTGAAAAATATTCTTTAATAAATCCACGCCTCAGTTGGCCCTTGAAAAATATTCTTTAATAAATCCACGCCTCAGTTGGCCCTTGAAAAATATTCTTTAATAAATCCACGCCTCAGTTGGCCCTTGAAAAATATTCTTTAATAAATCCACGCCTCAGTTGGCCCTTGCCTCAGTTGGCCCTTGAAAAATATTCTTTAATAAATCCACGCCTCAGTTGGCCCTTGAAAAATATTCTTTAATAAATCCACGCCTCAGTTGGCCCTTGAAAAATATTCTTTAATAAATCCACGCCTCAGTTGGCCCTTGAAAAATATTCTTTAATAAATCCACGCCTCAGTTGGCCCTTGAAAAATATTCCCTTGAAAAATATTGTTTAATAAATCCACGCCTCAGTTGGCCCTTGAAAAATATTGTTTAATAAATCCACGCCTCAGTTGGCCCTTGAAAAATATTGTTTAATAAATCCACGCCTCAGTTGGCCCTTGAAAAATATTGTTTAATAAATCCACGCCTCAGTTGGCCCTTGAAAAATATTGTTTAATAAATCCACGCCTCAGTTGGCCCTTGAAAAATATTGTTTAATAAATCCACGCCTCAGTTGGCCCTTGAAAAATATTCTTTAATAAATCCACGCCTCAGTTGGCCCTTGAAAAATATTCTTTAATAAATCCACGCCTCAGTTGGCCCTTGAAAAATATTCTTTAATAAATCCACGCCTCAGTTGGCCCTTGAAAAATATTCTTTAATAAATCCACGCCTCAGTTGGCCCTTGAAAAATATTCTTTAATAAATCCACGCCTCAGTTGGCCCTTGAAAAATATTCTTTAATAAATCCACGCCTCAGTTGGCCCTTGAAAAATATTCTTTAATAAATCCACGCCTCAGTTGGCCCTTGAAAAATATTCTTTAATAAATCCACGCCTCAGTTGGCCCTTGAAAAATATTCTTTAATAAATCCACGCCTCAGTTGGCCCTTGAAAAATATTCTTTAATAAATCCACGCCTCAGTTGGCCCTTGAAAAATATTCTTTAATAAATCCACGCCTCAGTTGGCCCTTGAAAAATATTCTTTAATAAATCCACGCCTCAGTTGGCCCTTGAAAAATATTCTTTAATAAATCCACGCCTCAGTTGGCCCTTGAAAAATATTCTTTAATAAATCCACGCCTCAGTTGGCCCTTGAAAAATATTCTTTAATAAATCCACGCCTCAGTTGGCCCTTGAAAAATATTCTTTAATAAATCCACGCCTCAGTTGGCCCTTGAAAAATATTCTTTAATAAATCCACGCCTCAGTTGGCCCTTGAAAAATATTCTTTAATAAATCCACGCCTCAGTTGGCCCTTGAAAAATATTCTTTAATAAATCCACGCCTCAGTTGGCCCTTGAAAAATATTCTTTAATAAATCCACGCCTCAGTTGGCCCTTGAAAAATATTCTTTAATAAATCCACGCCTCAGTTGGCCCTTGAAAAATATTCTTTAATAAATCCACGCCTCAGTTGGCCCTTGAAAAATATTCTTTAATAAATCCACGCCTCAGTTGGCCCTTGAAAAATATTCTTTAATAAATCCACGCCTCAGTTGGCCCTTGAAAAATATTCTTTAATAAATCCACGCCTCAGTTGGCCCTTGAAAAATATTCTTTAATAAATCCACGCCTCAGTTGGCCCTTGAAAAATATTCTTTAATAAATCCACGCCTCAGTTGGCCCTTGAAAAATATTCTTTAATAAATCCACGCCTCAGTTGGCCCTTGAAAAATATTCTTTAATAAATCCACGCCTCAGTTGGCCCTTGAAAAATATTCTTTAATAAATCCACGCCTCAGTTGGCCCTTGAAAAATATTCTTTAATAAATCCACGCCTCAGTTGGCCCTTGAAAAATATTCTTTAATAAATCCACGCCTCAGTTGGCCCTTGAAAAATATTCTTTAATAAATCCACGCCTCAGTTGGCCCTTGAAAAATATTCTTTAATAAATCCACGCCTCAGTTGGCCCTTGAAAAATATTCTTTAATAAATCCACGCCTCAGTTGGCCCTTGAAAAATATTCTTTAATAAATCCACGCCTCAGTTGGCCCTTGAAAAATATTCTTTAATAAATCCACGCCTCAGTTGGCCCTTGAAAAATATTCTTTAATAAATCCACGCCTCAGTTGGCCCTTGAAAAATATTCTTTAATAAATCCACGCCTCAGTTGGCCCTTGAAAAATATTCTTTAATAAATCCACGCCTCAGTTGGCCCTTGAAAAATATTCTTTAATAAATCCACGCCTCAGTTGGCCCTTGAAAAATATTCTTTAATAAATCCACGCCTCAGTTGGCCCTTGAAAAATATTCTTTAATAAATCCACGCCTCAGTTGGCCCTTGAAAAATATTCTTTAATAAATCCACGCCTCAGTTGGCCCTTGAAAAATATTCTTTAATAAATCCACGCCTCAGTTGGCCCTTGAAAAATATTCTTTAATAAATCCACGCCTCAGTTGGCCCTTGAAAAATATTCTTTAATAAATCCACGCCTCAGTTGGCCCTTGAAAAATATTCTTTAATAAATCCACGCCTCAGTTGGCCCTTGAAAAATATTCTTTAATAAATCCACGCCTCAGTTGGCCCTTGAAAAATATTCTTTAATAAATCCACGCCTCAGTTGGCCCTTGAAAAATATTCTTTAATAAATCCACGCCTCAGTTGGCCCTTGAAAAATATTCTTTAATAAATCCACGCCTCAGTTGGCCCTTGAAAAATATTCTTTAATAAATCCACGCCTCAGTTGGCCCTTGAAAAATATTCTTTAATAAATCCACGCCTCAGTTGGCCCTTGAAAAATATTCTTTAATAAATCCACGCCTCAGTTGGCCCTTGAAAAATATTCTTTAATAAATCCACGCCTCAGTTGGCCCTTGAAAAATATTCTTTAATAAATCCACGCCTCAGTTGGCCCTTGAAAAATATTCTTTAATAAATCCACGCCTCAGTTGGCCCTTGAAAAAATATTCTGGCCCTTGAAAAAATAAATCCACGCCTCAGTTGGCCCTTGAAAAATATTCTTTAATAAATCCACGCCTCAGTTGGCCCTTGAAAAATATTCTTTAATAAATCCACGCCTCAGTTGGCCCTTGAAAAATATTCTTTAATAAATCCACGCCTCAGTTGGCCCTTGAAAAATATTCTTTAATAAATCCACGCCTCAGTTGGCCCTTGAAAAATATTCTTTAATAAATCCACGCCTCAGTTGGCCCTTGAAAAATATTCTTTAATAAATCCACGCCTCAGTTGGCCCTTGAAAAATATTCTTTAATAAATCCACGCCTCAGTTGGCCCTTGAAAAATATTCTTTAATAAATCCACGCCTCAGTTGGCCCTTGAAAAATATTCTTTAATAAATCCACGCCTCAGTTGGCCCTTGAAAAATATTCTTTAATAAATCCACGCCTCAGTTGGCCCTTGAAAAATATTCTTTAATAAATCCACGCCTCAGTTGGCCCTTGAAAAATATTCTTTAATAAATCCACGCCTCAGTTGGCCCTTGAAAAATATTCTTTAATAAATCCACGCCTCAGTTGGCCCTTGAAAAATATTCTTTAATAAATCCACGCCTCAGTTGGCCCTTGAAAAATATTCTTTAATAAATCCACGCCTCAGTTGGCCCTTGAAAAATATTCTTTAATAAATCCACGCCTCAGTTGGCCCTTGAAAAATATTCTTTAATAAATCCACGCCTCAGTTGGCCCTTGAAAAATATTCTTTAATAAATCCACGCCTCAGTTGGCCCTTGAAAAATATTCTTTAATAAATCCAAGTTGGCCCTTGAAAAATATTCTTTAATAAATCCACGCCTCAGTTGGCCCTTGAAAAATATTCTTTAATAAATCCACGCCTCAGTTGGCCCTTGAAAAATATTCTTTAATAAATCCACGCCTCAGTTGGCCCTTGAAAAATATTCTTTAATAAATCCACGCCTCAGTTGGCCCTTGAAAAATATTCTTTAATAAATCCACGCCTCAGTTGGCCCTTGAAAAATATTCTTTAATAAATCCACGCCTCAGTTGGCCCTTGAAAAATATTCTTTAATAAATCCACGCCTCAGTTGGCCCTTGAAAAATATTCTTTAATAAATCCACGCCTCAGTTGGCCCTTGAAAAATATTCTTTAATAACCACGCCTCAGTTGGCCCTTGAAAAATATTCTTTAATAAATCCACGCCTCAGTTGGCCCTTGAAAAATATTCTTTAATAAATCCACGCCTCAGTTGGCCCTTGAAAAATATTCTTTAATAAATCCACGCCTCAGTTGGCCCTTGAAAAATATTCTTTAATAAATCCACGCCTCAGTTGGCCCTTGAAAAATATTCTTTAATAAATCCACGCCTCAGTTGGCCCTTGAAAAATATTCTTTAATAAATCCACGCCTCAGTTGGCCCTTGAAAAATATTCTTAATAAATCCACGCCTCAGTTGGCCCTTGAAAAATATTCTTTAATAAATCCACGCCTCAGTTGGCCCTTGAAAAATATTCTTTAATAAATCCACGCCTCAGTTGGCCCTTGAAAAATATTCTTAAGTTTCCGGGTGAAACTTTTTTACCTGTTCATCGTTTGTATCATTCCAGTAACAATGTTGTTGTTGTTGCTGCTGTTGTTGTTCATGATGGAAACTTTGTTTAACTCATGAATGGAAGTGTATTCATCTGTGTGCGCTAGTATGTACAACAAAAAAGTTTGGTTTATAGTTAATTAAATACCTTAAGCTAAATAAATCTGAATTAAAGTTTAATACAATTAAACTTTGTCATTGTTAAGCTAAACAGCAGCAGGAACAACAAAACAACAACAAAGTGTTGATTAGGATGTGTGTGTCCGCCAAAGGACACACAATCATAAACAAGTACTTGATGAGCAGAACTTCCCCTTGCCATACAACCCCAAACAATTTTGGAATAAATAATTTTCATATCGAAACTCAGCGTGAAAGGTGCAAACAATGAAAAATACAAACAACAACAACAAAAGAAAATCATTTAAATTTTCTTTTCAAATGAAAAACTATTATTTGAGAGGAAAAAACGGTGGAAGCATTTCTTAGCTTTGGGGGAGAAATTGTTCTCCCAACTGCAGCGTTTATGCGTTACCTCATTTAATTGGATGCTGGATTATTTACTTTTTTGTTTTTTCCCACTCCCCTCTAATTTCAAATGTGTTCCTTTATTTTTTTCTTTTCATGCGATAAACACCCGGCCTCGCTCCCAATGGCAAAATTTCATCGACATTCATTCATCCGCCAATCCATCCATCTATCTATCCAACTTCAACTGCTCGCTCGCTCGCCCGCCCACAATAGTATTCAGCCAAGGTGACGAGGGACGCTCCTGGTATATCATCCTGAAAGGATCTGTGGATGTGGTGATACATGGCAAAGGTACTGTGGCCACCCTTAAAAGCGGCGATGATTTTGGTAAACTGGCTTTGATTAACGACGCACCCAGGTGAGTTACGCGAAATTGTTTCTATGTAAATGTGTGTGAGTGCGCCCATAAATGCGGGTGTGAATACATATGTGTGTGTGTGTGAGTATGCAAGTGTTTTGAAGTCAATTGCCATTTGTGTGAATGTGCGCTTAAAAGACTCCTGTTGCGCTCTGATGCTGCGGGGAATTCCCATTGTATAACAAAGAATGTTATTGGATGGATAATGGTCCCGCGATATGTCGGGCATTCCGCAGAAATTTGATTAAACATATAAAAAATTGCTGGGAACTTAAAATATTTTTTTTTAATTTACGATTTATATAGGCTTATAGACCTTGAAAAAATACTTTAAAAAATCTACTCCTTATATAGGCTTATAGACCTTGAACAAATACTTTTAAAAAATCTACGCCTTATATAGGCTTATAGACCTTGAAAAAATACTTTTAAAAAATCTACGCCTTATATAGGCTTATAGACCTTGAAAAAATACTTTTAAAAAATCAACCCTATGCTGTGACCTTGAAAAAATACTTTTAAAAAACAAATACTTTTAAAAAATAAAAAATTACGCCTTATATAGGCTTATAGACCTTGAAAAATACTTTTAAAAAATCTACGCCTTATATAGGCTTATAGACCTTAAAAAATATCGTTTTTTTAATCCACGCATCTTATAGACCTTGAAAAAATATTCTTTAATAAATCCACGTCTCTTTTTTGAGCCTGAAAAAAATATTCTTTATTAAATGCACATCTGTTGTGAGCCCTGAAAGAAAAAAACTCTTTCACAGCAAGAATAATACCTACAGCTCTTCCATAGGAAGAAGAAGACCTACAGTTCTTCTCTAGAAGGAGGAAGACCTCCAGCTCTCCTATAGGACCAAGAATTCGTGCAGTTCTTCTACAGGTAGAAGACTGCTGCAGCTCTTCCAAAGGAAGAGGAATACCTGCAGCTCTTCCACAGAAAGAAGAATACCAGCACCTGTTCCTCAAGAAGAAGAATACCTACAGCTCTGCTATGGGATGAAGAATACCTCCAGCTCTCCTATAGGAAGGAGAATATCTCCAGCTCTTTCAAAGGAAGAAGAAGGCCTACAGTTCTTCTCTAGAAGGAAGAAGACCTCCAGCTCTCCTATAGGAAGAAGAATTCGTGCAGTTCTTCCACAGGAAGAAGACTCCTGCAGCTCTTCCACATCAAGAAGAATACCTGCAGCTCTGCTATAGGATGAAGAATATCTCCAGCTCTCCTATAGGAAGGAGAATACCTCCAGCTCTATCAAAGGAAGACGAATACCTGCAGATCTTCCATAGGAAGAATAATATCTGCAGCTCTTCCACAGGAAGAAGAATACGTGCAGCTCTCCCATAGGTAGAAGAATACCTACAGTTCTCCTCTAGGAAGAAGAAGATATATAGTTCGCCTCTAGGAAGAAGACCTCCAGCTCTCCTATAGGAAGAAGAATACCTACAGCTCTTCCACAGGAAGAGGAATTCGTGCTACTGTTCCAAAGAAGACTAATACCTGCAGCTCTTGTATAGGAAGAAAAATCCCTGCAGCTCTTCCACAAGAAGAAGAATACCTGCAGTTCTCCTATGGGAAGAAGAATACCTCAAGGTCATTTATAGGAAGAAGAATACCTACAGTTATCCTCTAGGAAGAAGACCTCCTCCAGAAAAAACTCTTTTACAGGAAGAAGAATATCTGCAGCTCTTCCATAGGAAGAAGAAGACCTACAGTTCTTCTCTAGAAGGAGGAAGACCTCCAGCTCTCCTATAGGAAAAATAATACGCGCAGTTCTTCCACAGGTAGAAGACTGCTGCAGCTCTTCCACAAGAAGAAGAATACCTGCAGTTCTCCTATGGGAAGAAGAATACCTCAAGGTCATTTATAGGAAAAAGAATACCTGCAGCTCTTCCACAGAAAGAGGAATTCGTGCAACTCTTTTAAAGGAAGACTAATACCTGCATCTCTTGCACAGGAAAAAGAATGCCTGCTGGTGCCTGAAAACCCCTCCCTGAAAAAAATGTATGGACTCTCCCATATAGTCATTAGTATGCCTACTGGTTATCTCCCGATGGTTTTATAAAGTTGAATTTCCAACATTTAGCCTATATGAATGTGGTATCGGTCTCTCTTCCTCACTTTATTATGCAAAAGGTGTGGACGAATGGAATTTAATTATGAAGGTGTCTACCATCATTTGCATCCCCTCCCCTCACAATATTTGTTGACTGGTATTTTATCATAATTTGCATAGAACGCCGAGAGTTTATTATCTATGGCATAATTAGATATTAGATAATTTGCTGAGAGTTTTTTTGTTTCATTAACCTTCCCGGGCATTTGTTGGGATGGCTATGCGTTTTTAGTAATGGCGACGGTGAACATCTGCTGAAAGCGTATTTCTTAATTGTCTCATTTTTTAATTAATAATTAGTCGTACAGAAATCTTAATTAAAGTTTAAACAATTGTTGCTGTTGGCATAAAAGATAGCTGATTGATTGTCATTAGAATTTGGTACTAGCTTAAGGATATGAAGAAGTGAAGTGAAATCTCTGGAAGCTATTCAGCTATAATTTTCTATTATCTGAAAATTCATTAAAAGTTTTGTAATTGAATCTTAATTAAGGATTTGGCAAGGAAAAAATTAAAAAACAATGTCCAAAATTTCAATGACCTGCCGTTCCACTCAGGAGAACTTTAATTTGAATTCATATTCTAAGGACTTATTGTAATGGTACATTACTACACCTGCGTATGAGTAACATTGTTGCATTTTATTCCCAGTACGTATACGTATGGGTGACTGTCGTAGATCTTGAAAATATTATTCAATAACTCTACACCTATGGTGGCCATGAAAAAAATATTATTTTATAATTCGAAGCCTTGTGATGAGCCTTGATCTCTCCTAGACCTTCAAAAAATATTTAAACAAAAATCTACTCCTCTTCTAGATATTAAAAAAATTACGCCTTCAGAGACCTTGAAAAAGTACTATTTTATAGATCATAGTCTCTAACTTACTTACTTAGCTGGCTTGTTACAGAGCGGTTGTTCCATAAGCCGAGCTTAAAAAAGATTTCCAAGCGCGTCGGTCTTGTGCGCAAATCCACCAATTTGGAAGACCACCTTCCAAGATGTTGTTTTCTACTTGGTTTTTCCATCTAATTCGTGGACTTCCCCTTCTACGGGAACCATCAGTAGGCTCGTTTTTATATGCCTTTTGAGCTGAGGCATTCTCATTCATCCGCACAACATGCCACCTAGCCACCGTAGTCGCTGCAGCTCAATACGACTGACTATGTCAATGTCCGCGTATAAATTGTAAAGCTCGTGGTTCATTCGACGCCGATATTCACCGTCAACGCACATCGGCCCGTAGGTTTTTCGGAGAATTTTTCTTTCAAACAACCGAAGATCTGCCTCATCTGCTTGCGCAAGTACCCATGCTTCAGATCCATATAATAGCACGGGTAGTATCAGCGTCTTGTAAAGTGTGAGTTTGGTCTGGCAGGAGGTGGCCTTGTTTCTAAACTGCTTACTTAGACCATAGTAGCATCTGTTGGCCATCACAATCCTTCTCCGAATTTCAAAACTGATGCCATTCGTTTTATTTATGGCGGTACAAAGGTATATAAAATCTTTAACTACCTCGAAGCTGTAGTTCTCAAGTTCCACAGTTGGTCCGAATCTAGTGGACGTCTTGCGCGTTGATACCATCAGCTTGGTCTTCTCGCCGTTTACTGCCAGACCCACTTTGGCAGACTCCTTTTCAATTTGTTCAAAGGTGGCTGTTACGCTCGTAATGTTCGACCCATTATATCGATGTCATCGGCGTAGGCGAGTAACATGAGTTAGTTGGTGTACTTTGCGTCTCGTATGACCTTTTCCAGCAGGATGTTAAAAAGATCACACAACAAACTGTCACCTTTTCTAAATCCTCGTTCGGTATTGAAGGTCCTTTCCGATAGGTCCTTTCCTACTTTAACTGCTGACCTTGTGCCACTTAAAGTTATCCTGCATAGCCGTATTAATTTTGCAGGAATGCCGAACGTAGACATGGCTTTATACACCTCTGAACGGATAGGGCTGTCGAATGCGGCTTTACAGCCGACAAATAGGTGGTATGTGTCGATGTGTTTTTCGTGGGTCTTTTCCAGGATTTGGCGCAGAGTGAAAATCTGGTCAATGGTGGATTTGCCAGGTCTGAAGCCGCATTGGTATGGTCCAATGATGTCATTGGCCATTGGCTTCAGTAGTTCACACAGCACACTGGATAGCACTTTATATGCGATGGGAAGGAGACTTATTCCTTTATAGTTGGCACATATCGTCTGGTCTCTTTTTTGTGAACAGGACACAAGATGCTGAGGTTCCAATCATTGGCCATGCATTCCTCTAGCCAAGTTGTACTAATCAGCTGGTGCATGCTCCTGACCAGCATATGGCCACCAGTCTTGAATAGTTCGGTTGGTAACCCATCGGCTCCTGCTGCTTTGTTGATCTTGAGCCGATTAATTGCTTTTATGACCTCATCTTGGCTATGTGGTTTACACTCTATACCATCATCTCTTATTGGTTCTGCGGTATCTTCTTCAACGCCACTATTTGATATCAGAAGCTTTTCAAAATGCTCCTTCCAGATCCTCAACACGCTGTCTGTATCTGTCACCTGGTTTCCTTCTTCATATCTGCAGGAGGATGTGCCCGCACCAAAGCCTTCAGTTTGGTGTTTTACTCGTTGGTAAAATGTCCGGACTTCATTCTGACTCCTGTTCATCTCGATTTGCTCACGCTCACGTTTTTCTTGTTCTTTCTTCTTTTTTCTGAAAACACGTTTTTCCACTCTCCTTTTCTCTCGATAATTCTCCATCACGTTACGTGTTGCTGCTGTCTGCAGGGTTGCCCTATACGCTGCGTTTTTCACATCTGTAGCATTACGACACTCCTGATTGTACCATGGGTTTCTTGGAGGTGGTTTTTGGTACCCAAGTGTTGCTTTTGCTGCAG